AGTTTTCTTTTATATGAAAACATCAATCCTAAATGTCAGCCAGATTCTCTCTTCAAATTCTGGGAGCTGATATTAATCCAGGAACTAAACATAAAGTTGAATGCTTCACTTGTAATTCTCCAGTATTGTCTCCGTAATCGCTACGTACATTAGTACCCTCACTTACCTTGAATACTGCTTTTTTGAAGGCAGTGGGGCTACCCATGTAATACGATGCTATCCAGCATGAGCAGAAATGGCATAGTGAGGCTCTTCATGTATAAGTTCCTTTACTTGACTTCCTGCTCATGCAGAGAAGGAGGAATTAATGTTGCTCTTGATTTTTGGTCATATGAACAAGGTTAGTCCCACAGGAAGAGTGCTTAACTACATGCTTAAGTTCTAGTGGCTTAAGTTAGTAGGACTTGCATATCTAATTTAAGCTAAGGATATGCTTAAATGCTTTCCTCGGTTGGGGAGTTAGGGCTTGTCTACACATACAGTGCTGCAGCAGCACAGCTGCAGCAGTTTAGTGATAACACTACTAGACCAACAGGAGAGCATCTTCCTTTGGCGTAGCTAATGCACCTCCATGAGAGGCAGTAGCTGTTTCAACAGGAAAAGCTCTCCTATTGACAGCATTGTATGTACCAGAGGTTAAGTTGGTATAACTACATCACTCAGGGGTGTGCATTTTTCACACGCATCTGTGTGACACAATTTGTAATGTAGACCTGGCCTTAGTCTCTTTAATGATTGTGGATGACTAACTGTAAAATAGGGAATTTACTTATGTCTTCATTAAAATAAATAGATGAGCAGTGGCTTTGATCTAGGGTGAATTAACAGGCTACTAGATTACTAGCCTTTGGCTATCTGAAATAGAACTATGTTTAAAATATGTATATTCAATTAAGATTTGCTGGTTGATGTTTATCTTCCCTAGTTGGGAAATAGTGTAATTTTTATTGGATTTTTATGACACCTAAGCTTTATTTTAGGTTTGAATAATCCACTACTCAGTTCTTCAGGTTTTATTGGTGTATGTGTACTGTCAGTAGAAATAGTCTCAATGAAGATTTGTAAAATATTGATCATATTTGACATCTTTAAATAATTTTTTAATTAAAAAAAACCCTTTGAAGTTTATGATGATACTGTTTTACCATCTTATGACTTATTATTTATGTGCCATGCTCTTTAATTTAAAAATAGTGGTTGCTGAGAATGTGTAAGTCACTGTGTCCTAAATCTTCAGCTGGGTGCTGGACTAAAGAGGTTAAATTTGTAGAGGTTCAATGTGTAGTCCAGTGTGGGTAATTATGAGCGGCCTTACTTGTATTTATCTTACAGTTTGCATAAGGTAGACAACTTCAGAACAGTTTAGGACAGGTAGAGTGGTACTTCAGCATGCTGTTTGAAAAGCTGTTGTGCTCCATTCTGAAGTTAGGTTAAGTGAGTCTCATGTCTGCCAGATTGGATTTGGTAACACACTTGCACCTCAGTGCCCCCTAGAAATCCGGTACACATCTTGGAAGTTTAGTCTGCTTCTCCAGAGGCTACTCCAACGGTTATTCTGGGGCAGAGTCAAAGGGTCAGTGGGTAGGGTTGGGACACAGAAGGGTTGAGATCTGTTCTCAGCTCTGCTATATCACTTTGGTCAAATCTTTTTCTTCCTGTCCTTCAGTTTACTCCTCTGCAAAACTGAGATGATGTTTGCTCACCTTTCTCAACAAGCTTATGATGTATACATGAAAAATGTTATATAAGTATCATTCTACATTATTGGTTTGTATGTGCCCTCTGACCAGGTTTAGCAGCAACTACATGCACACACACACTACAGGATAGTCTGACGCTATAGAAATAATTCTTGGGCTTGGCCTAGGACCAGAATGTACATCCGCAGTTCTGTGTAACATCTATTTAAGGTAATGAGTCTTATGTGCAGAATAACAAAGAATTTAGCCTCCCGTCTTCAGGAGCAAATGTTTAGAGCTATTGGTAACCCTAAAATATTGAGGTTGTTCTTGCCTTTTAAAATTGGAGCCTGAAATATTTTGTGTATTCATTAAGCAAGCTGCAGCAATGTAAATTACTCCTCTAGTGTCTACCTAATGTTTCAGTAGCTGAGTATCTAAGCTCCTCCAGTTCCTGTTCAATACAGAAATGACAACATGTGAAAGTGGATTGAGACTATCAAAAGATAATGCTTGGCCATTACAAGCCTGAGTTTGAAACTGGGACATAAAGCTGTTCTATTAACTGTCTCCTGAGTTATTCTGTCTTTAGCTAGGCAATAAAATTACTATCCAATGGGTTTAAGTATTTTTAAATACAAAAAAAGTATTGGAAGATAGCCTCCTTTTGATGTCTAGTAATGAGCTTTGCACATACTTCTGAGGTTGTCACCCTACACGGTTGGAATATGGTAACTAAGCAGCAGAAACAGACACCAGTACTGTTTTGAGAGCCCTTTAATCTCTTATCTTGACCATCAGTGGTCTAAAAAGAATGATTGTCTAATGTTGCTTACTTTGGTTAGAAAGTGCTTTTTTTTGGCTCACGCTTTAAATAGCTATCCCAGCAAAGCAGAGTTTGTGTACAATTTCAGTTCTACATTTGAGTAGCTGATTTTAAAACTGACGGTGAGACCCGCAGCTTCCAAGGCAATGGCAGCATGGATTAGTTTTTTGTGGCAAACACAACAGGAATGAAGAATCATATTTGCAGGAGGTGAAAGAAGGCCTGATACCTAACAATTGAAAGATTGTTCTCTGCATCGGAGGCAACATGGAGAATGCAGAGGCCTGCTTGGGGTTGACTGTTTAACTATCAGGTATTTCCAGGGTAACTGTATGTCCTGTGTTGGTCAGGAAAGTCCCTTTTCTAAGCCCTGTCCTTGCTGTCACAACAGTTTTTGGCAAAAGTGGGCATTTGTCCCATTTGCTCTTGCAAACAAATTATGCAAGGGAGGGGGCAAGTTGTGATGGGGGGCAGGCTGGGTTCAGGTGAACAGTGATGCCAACCTGGCATGGGCGGAGGGCTCCACTAGTATCCTGTTTTCCCTTTGGGAAATACAATCACTCTAGGTATTTTTGTATATAATGTATTTGATGAGAGGAAACTCAGACTTGAACAACTGTGTATAAGGCCCAGTCATGCAACTTAACTGTGATCAGGCTGGAAAATTTTCAGTTTAGTCATAAGTCACCAGAGGGCGTTTCCATGCTGTGTTTCCAATCCATGGTTTCATAGAGACATGCATTCCAAGGCCAGAAAGGATAATTTGTAATCCTTTAGTCCAGGGGTAGGCAGTAATTTTTGGAGTGGGGCCACTTAATGAATTTTAGTACATGGTCACGGACCGGCTCCACCCCCAGAAGGGGCGGGGCAGAAGCTGGGGACTAGCCTCCCCTGAGTTGTGTGGGGCCAGAGTCTTTGAATTAAAAATATACTGAAGAACTTGTGGCTCCCAGCCCTATCACTACCTGGTGGGCCACCCAGGGCTGCTGCGGCTATTTAAAGGTTTTGAAGCTCTGGCCTCTGCTGGAGTAGCACCACAGATGGGAGCTATTTAAATAGGACCCTGCTACCATAGCTACCGCCTGAAAATTCAGTGAAACGGGCAACAGGATATAATTAGAAAGCAGCTAGATGCAGTCTGTGGGCCGGCTGAATCAAAGTGTTAAGCGGTCTGGATCCAGTTCCTGGCTGCATGTTGCCCAGCCCTACTCTAGTCTGACCTGTAGAACACAAGCCATAGAATTTCCCCCAAACATGTAAATCTGTCAGCAAAATTTCAGTGTAATGATAATTTATCTTTAATTTATGGTGAAACATGCATACCCATTATAAAACTATTTCCCAGATCCAGGTACTCAGTATTTTAAATGGTCAATTTCTTTTTAATGTCTAAGATAAAATGCTAGATGTGTTATTTCAAGTTCCAGTAATGCATAAGTTGAGTTAAAGTAATGTTATTATATACAGTAGTGGGAAAGTTTGCATGTAGAAATTTGTGGGAGGATTATCTAGTACTAAATGTTTGCAATTTCTTTGAGAAAACTTTGCTTAGTACATAAGAAAAATGTCCACTTTCTTTTTAACGAACCAAGAACTTTATAGAGAAAAAAGAAGGCCAATAAGTAGAAGTAATAATGTGATTTGCTGCAGTGTTGGTAATAAATGGTTTGGTGTTGTACAGGGAGATTTTGGCAAATCCAGTAATGTGCCTGAACCACTATTGCTTACTGCTTGAACTTTAGCAACCAAGCTAACAGGCCCAAAATAGGCCTAGACAGCATGACCAAGTCAGGTAGGGGGAAGAAGGGGATTTTGGGTGCCACAGAGAGGGCAGCTTGACCCCGCATCCTTCCTGACGGCCGAATCTCTAGTGTAATTGCTGAGCTATACATTAAGAAAAACAGGAGGTTTGTCTAAATGCCCTAAGACATATATCTATCGGGGCCCACGAGCCTGGAGTCTCTGAAAAAGAAAAAACACCTGGTGAAAGTGATGATCAGAAGAAAGCCTCTTGCCTAACCTTTAAAAAGTGCTTGCCTAACAAGTTTTTGAGTGACATGTTATTGTAATATTAATGGATAAATAGGGAAGGAAAGTTTTGAGATGTGGGGGACAATTTTGGAAACACTTGGATGGACACCTTGAGGACTCCTTGAGGACTCTTTACATCTGGCAGATGGAAGACTGGCCATCGGAAGCCTGCCTGGTGCCACTCGAGAGCCGCGCTCAACTTCGGTTATTATCGAGGAAGGAGGTGTTTTACTAACCTGTTGCACACGTGTGTAAGTGCTTGAGACTAAGTAAAGTTTAGCTTTAAGTGAAAGCACTCTTGTGTTGTCCTGTTTGTACCATCCATCTATCAGTCGGACGACCATGTCTCCCCTGAATTATCTCCTGATACCACCTCGCAGAGCGTAAAAGTTACTGAGAGGTTTGGGTTGAAAGAACCCTGGGTAACAGTGTGATTTTTAGAATTTGTCATAAAGTAGAAAACATTATGCAGATCTGTCACTTTATTTCACCAGCCTCCATTAGTACGAGTGACAATTACTGTTCATTAGCTTGAACTCACCAAAGTGGATCAGTAAGCAACTATTATTAACAAAATATTATACTTTAGGACTGAAAAACGTGTTGGAACATAATTGCATATGTTCAGATGGATTTTTGTGACTGAGCTATATACAAGAACCTTCACGTGCTTTACCAAAACAGGACAAGATAATTGAAACAGCTGTGTTGACTGTTGAGTCAACTTCTTCTCGTGTCTTCCCACGACATGGATTGATCTCCATAATATCTACTGCTGATAGCAACCCTGTAATTACAAATGACAGTTATACTCAGAAAACTTTAAATTGATACTTGACCTGAAAATGAAATTGTGTAATTCCAAATTCACTACCAGAAAGGTTCCAAGGTACGATGTGTTTTTTCCCCTGTTGGGTTTTGCCTTTGTTCTGTATCAACATTAACAAAGGCTAGTATAAGAAGGCTCAACCAGTAGTGTGCCTTTTGCCACTGTAGGATGCAGATATTTAGAGCCAATTTTTCTACTATGCTTATCTTCTACTGGATACCACAACAAGGAGCTGATGTGACAAAGCTAGTTATGACTCTAACTCAGCCTCAGGCATTGTTTGGGGACTAGTCTAATTTGAACCCCAAGAGCTCATACACTTTGTCCCCAAGAGTCCATATGCTATCTGAGGCACAGCTACGCAGAATGCTCTGGATATCCTCAAACCCATCCAGTCCCACTCCCAAATATGTTGTCTGAACCCAGGGATATAAAGAAGAAGTCTTAGGAGCCAGCTTCGCTAGCTCTATGCCCATTGGATAGTCGCAGGTAATATTTAACTTTCTTCATGTCTGTTTCTTATATTTTATCAAACACCACCTGTATTCCAACGAATTCACAAAAGCACTTCAGTAACTAATTTGCACTAAAACTCAAGTAGCTGTGGTGGGAGTGCAACAACTATGAAGAGACTAGAGTGCTACATAGTAGGACAGCACAGGAAATTTAGCCTATGGACATTAGCAGGGCTCAACAAGCGGCAGCAAGCCTTGCTCGCCAGCCGTGCTCTGCGCATGCGCTGACCGCACTGCGCGGCCACACCGGATTAAAATCTATTCGCCTGTTACGTTAACTGTCAAGCCCTGGACATAAGTCAATCCTTTATTTGTGCAAAAGATACTATGAGAGTAGACCAGACCTCACTTAAAGGTCTTATCCAAAAGCCCTGGGCAGAGGCCAAGCTATGTGGTACAGTTTCTCTCTCTCAGGGGAGGATGAAGAGATATTTGATGAAATTTGAATCTTTGGTTCCAGAATGTCTGGGTATTCGATACCTGCTACTTAACTCACTGCTCTGACACCTCCAGTTTTAATGCTTGTGTGTGTCACTATTCATTAATATTTCATTTTCTTTTCTTATACCACGAAACAGTGACACTTTTTCTGCTTTGATGGCATTTTCAATACAAATGCCGTTTTAATCCGTAGGCAAAAGGTGAGGTGATATTACTAGATGTGGGCACACTGGTCTTCAGATCATTTGGATTCACTATTTAGAATGCTGTGGGCAAAGTTTTCTGGAAAGTTTAAATTTGAATTGGCTTTTTAATATGTGTTAAATTACTTATGTTAAACCATCTGCTTGGTTTTGTATTTAGCAGTGACACTCTTAGTACCTTTCCCAAACCTGAAGAAAAGCTCTGTGTAGCTCAACAGCTTGACTTTCTCATCAGCAGAAGTTGGTCTAATACACGATACTACCTCACCCACATTGTTTCTCTAATGTCCTGCGACTGACACAGCTACAACAACTTTGCACCTTCTCCGTTACCTTTTGGCCTCCGTTTTGGATGGGAATTCCAAGAGGTGGAGATAGTGTACAACCAGTCAAGTGCTGTAAACCCTGAATGATTTTCCTCTGGCAGTACAGTGCTTATCCTAAAGAAGGTAGCAAGTTGCAAGAAACCAGGCTTTCTGCTTTGGTGAGTAGTTACCAAAAAAGGGATCACCTAAGGGAGGGCACTGAACACCCGATGTGGAGTCCAGGAGTGTCAAATGCCAGAGGGAGCTTGAAGTTATAAAAGGATATGACCTGTACTTATCAGCTACCTCTCACTAACCAGAACAGGAAGACAAGACTGAGCAGGAGAGAGGGAGGTTTTGGGACACTCCCAGGACTGACCAAAACCCAAAGGTCTGTGAGTGGTGAGGGCAAAGGCAGGTGAGATATCTGTGAAGGCTTTGTTTTACTTTTGCATGTATCCTAAGTCTCTTGTGCTTACTGAGTGAAGTGTCAGGCAGACAGGGTGTGTTTAGGTTATTGGTGAGACTTGGGGGTTGGTAGTTCAGCGCTGGTCTTGAAGTCTGTTACATTTGGATGATGGAATCTCACTTCAAAGAAGGAGTGTCAGTGAGGGAGGAGTGAGCCTGAGGGACCAGAGGTGTTTCTCAGACTGAGTGGGCTTAATAGAACGCACTATCCAGTACTTGGATTTCAGACATAGGAGTCTAGTGAGTATTCAGCAGGGGAAGCTCTGCCAGGTCTATGTCACTACCCATTCCGTAATCGAAATCAGACATGGCAAGTACAGTGGTTCCTTTTTTTTTTCTTTCTCCTAGTCAAGAGATATGAGCTGTTGTAATTTTATTGACAAGTCTGGCATAGGCAGTGCTCACCTAGTTTTAGCTATAGACTAAGAACTAAATCAGACTTTACTCTGTCCATCCACAGCTAAACTATAAGCTCATCCGCTTCATCCTACATTATTACTACAAAGGAGAGTAATTTAGCAGTACTGAATCTCCTATTCACTTACTTGATTTTGTGCATTTCTCTTACATATTGGATTTTCATTGCTTTAATGTATCTCAAAGTCAGAAAACCCCCTCACCACAATACTTCAAAGGCTCTAGGGAGACATTGTAAATGTTAAATCTTAACTGGTATCAAGAATTTTCAGGTGTGGTTGTACCTGTTCTGAAAAGTTGTTCTGCTGTATAGATTCCCTCTCTCAAAGTCGTTCCTCCAACAACTGGGGTGCCTGTAGCTGGTGTCAGAGAGGGATCCAATCCATCAACATCAAAACTTAAGTGAATTGGTCTCTTCTTTCTTTATTGGAGGAAAGCAAGAGAATAGAATTAAACCCATGCGTTCTGAAAAGCTGTAAAGTGCACCCTGTGAAACTGTTCTTCACAAACAATGGAAAAACTTAATCCTCCTGATTCAGGCTTTTTGTGTCCTACTTATAAAACATTTGTGTCAGATAAAGGAATTATGAATGACATAACTGCTTTGGATGGCAACACAGTGGCACAAGTAATAGTTTGTAAATTTTGAAGGATGCAGGGACCTCGATTTTTGTAAGTTGTATATGAAATATCTAGTATACACTAGAGACAGGGGAAGCCAATTGGGTCGCCTAATCGATCCTGCTACCAGTAAAGGAATGTTCTCTAAAATATATTCTCTAGAGTAAAATGAACTAAATTGATGATGCTGTCACCATTCCCCAATGTGAGACTGTTACAGTTTTACAACTTCGCCCTGTAACGAAGTTCTTCCTGAATTCTGTCTAAAGTTGTGCTGTTTTTTAAAATTTAATCCATCACTCCTTGCTGCTACTAATACCCTTTTTTTTTTACTACTCTACATAAGACTGTAGCCCCAAGAACAGAGGAGAATCCCTTCTTGAGGAGGGCAGAGTTCTAGGAATAGCAGCAGGCGGAGAAGCCTGAACAACCTAGCTCTGTTTGATCTCTGAGTGGGAAGAAGACCTCAGAGCCAGTATGGAGACATTTATTACTACTTGTGTTATTGTAGTACCTAGGAGCCCCAGTCATGGTCCCACTGTGGTTGGCACTGTACACAAACAACAAAAAGAGTCCCTGCCATAAAGCACCTAGCACTAAGACACTCAACGCCTCCAAAGTTACCCAGGGGCCTAGAGTACTGCCTGATGCTCTTTTGTAGTCATTCACTGCCAAAAAGAGACTTTGCCATAACTGTGTGCAGCAGTTAGGCTAATTGTAGTATTTATTTCAAAATTAGCTGCCAGTTTAAATACCATTAAAATTAACCCACCATGTGTTAAATATACATAATATGGGGAGTTCTGAAGTGATCTTTGACTGTATGATCAAAAATACTTAGTGGATCTCCTGTAATTTTTTTCCCTGAATTTCTGTCTTTATATTGTCAGTAGATAAATTGGGCTTGTTTATATGTATGAGTTGTTTTTGCAAAACGTGCCATATACTTAGATGTAAGTTGAACTTAACACAGTCATGTAGTCCTATTGCATATAGGGCACCTCTTCGCCCTCTGTTCTTGTACAATTTTGCTGTACAGGCAGTCATCGGGTTACGTACAAGATAGGGACTGTAGGTTTGTTCTTAAGTTCAATCTGTATGTAAGTCGGAACTGGCGTCCAGATTAAGCCGCTGCTGAAACTGACCAGCAGCTGACTACAGGAAGCCTGAGGCAGAGTTGCTCTGCCCCGGGCTTCCTGGAATCAGCCGCTGATCAGTTTCAACAGGCTGAATCTGGACGCCAGTTGGGGTTCTTAAGTTGAATCTGTATGTAAGTTGGAACTGGCGTCCAGATTCAGCCTGTTGAAACTGATCAGCGGCTG